TAAGTACATTCACATTGTTGTGCAACCATCACCACCATCCGTTTTTATCTTCCCAAACTAAAACCCACTAAACAGTAATTCCCCTTATCCCCTCACTCCTGAGTTCCTGGCACGTGCCATTCTACCTTCTGTCTCTATGAATCTGACTACTGTAGGTGCCTCATATCAGTAGAATCAGACAGTATTTGGCTTGTTGTGCCTGATTTATTTCACTTATTATAATGTCCTCAAGGTTCGTCCATGTTGTAGCATGTGACAGAATTTCATTCCTTTTCAGGGCTGAGTCATATCTGCTGTATGGCCAGACCACACCTTGTTTATCCATTCATCCATCAATGGGCACTTGGGTTGATCCATCTTTTGGCTGCTGTAAATAGTGCTGCTATGAGCATATATCAGCTGTCTGTTCAAGTCCCTCCTTTCAGTTCTTTTGGGTATTCTGTGAGGTTTTAACCCCTCCTAGATCTGAACTTGGGAACTATTATGTAGTTGTGTTCAGGGGCATGGAAGTTGCCTCCTCTGCCCTTCCTTTCCTACCATGTCGAATGAGTCATATTTAATATAATATTAGGGGTGAGTTTCCGGAGGAGTGTGTTTTGGAACTGGTTCTCCTCCCCATTTTTGTGAAATAAGCATAGGGGACATTAAACAAGAAGCATTTACTGGCGAGTGCCAAGCAGGAGGTGACTGCTCCCTGCGCTGTGGAAGTGCCGGTGGAGATGGGGGTGAGAGGGGAAGGGACCGGGAGAGCAACGCTCATTTGAGCACAGTCTAGAAAGCAGACACTATGGGAACTGTTGAGTTTGTATTTCGTGGTGGTGCATGGGGATGAGAGAAAAGGCTAGAGTAACTTCCAGATTTCTTGGGTGACTAGATGGTGCCGTTGGCTAAGATGACTGGCAGATGGGGAGGGCGGTAAGAGATCACAGAGCGTGCATCTATTTTGGGCCTCTCCCAAATCAGGGGAGAAGCTCCATGGGCCTGCAGATGATTTGCAGGGTAGGATAATTACAACGCAACTGTTCAATGGAACTGGAAAATGAAATAAAGATCCTGTCTAATGAGTTCGAATTTAGATTCTTATCCAGAGAAGATGGTTATCTTTCTTTGTGGAGATTTCTCTTATCGTGTCAGGGTTTTATATTTTGGGAATCTGTAGTGAAGGTTCATATGCTCTTGGTTTGTTTCAAAGGTGGCAGATGAAACTAGGAGGGTAATTTGATGTTAAATGTTATAAGTATTTCCACCTAAATTTTTGTACCCTACTTTGAACTTGGATTTGGGATGAGTCATACTTATGTCTTACTAGCACCTGCTTTGTCTAGCTCTATAAACCCCCTATCAATAGGCTTACCACTCTTCATTCCCACCAAACCTAGCTCTTCGCTTCCCTTGCTCCAAGTCCTGTCAGTATAGAATTGGAGTGAAGTATACAGAGAGAGGAATGGATGTTATGGGAGGGATAATGGGTTCACTTTGAGATATCTTCTTTTTTTTTTTTTTGAGGAAGATTAGCCCTGAGCCAATCCTCTTCTTTTTTGCTGAGGAAGACTGACCCTGAGTTAACGTCCATGCCCATCTTCCTCTACTTTGTATGTGACATGCATGCCACAGCATGGCTTGACAAGCAGTGCGTAGATCCACACCTGGGATCCGAACCGGCAAACCCTGGGCTGCCGAAGTGGAACAGGTGACCGCAGTGCCACCGGGCCAGCCCTCCAGATATCTTGATCTTGAGATGCTGGTGGGACATCCAGGTGGGAGTAAGTAGGTGGTTGGATATAAAAGTCTAGTGCTCAGGATCGACTTGAGGCTGGAGGTAGCTATGAAAGTCACCCCTGTGCCCAAGGGGATGAGCTGCCAGAGAGAAAATCAGGCAGGAGAAGAGGAGAAGGCCAAAGAGAGAAGACCGTCCTCTTCTTTGTCTACTCCTGTACCCATTTTAGGTGACAGAGCAAGCGAGAGGGCCCAGATTAAGAGATGGCATCTGACCTGGACCATTCCGCTATCTTCATACGCACAGTGCAGACTCCAGAGCAGGAAGGATGGGATTCAGCAGACAGGCTGGAGGAGACAGGATGAGACTTGGCAGCCACCTGGGCTGGGGGAGAGGGGCCCCGGAGGAGACTGTGAAGGGAGGTCAGGGGACAGGAGAATTAAGACAGGAGGTGTGTTGGGAGTCGAAGGAGGATGTTGAGGGAGGCGGAGCAGTCAAGATGCCAGAGGGGACAAGATGATTGACAAGTGTCCACAGCATTCGGCTGTTAGGAGGCCCTCATGACCTCTGCCAGAGTGGTTTCAGGTGATGGTGGTACATAATCCAAGAAGGGGTTCTTCCAGCGTGTTCTCTCCCTAGCTCTTGAATTCCAGACACTCCGTCAGTCTGGACATGATGCTTCTTATCGCCTGGCTTACTAAAAATACCCTTCAGCCATTCAGAATGTGTTCTAAAGACTTCCGTTCTGCGTTTTAAATGCCAGTATTTGAACTCAGACATCACCACTCCTCTCTCTGGAGGCGTCTTCTAAAAACTCCTGTTACCTTTATTTTGACAATAAAAAAGGGTATGCTTTTATTTCCTGGGATGCCCAACCGCTAAGATGCTTGAGGAGCCGGAGTCTGTGGGAGTCTCGATGGGTCACAGGTAATGTGGATTAGTGACCCCAGGATCCTGGGGGACCTTGGACAGTAATATCTACCAGTTTCCCTTAACTTCTCTCCTGGGACTGTCCTTACACCACTTCCCTGAAAACCAGAGCTGTCATGGATTCCAGTCTTACTCCAGCTGTTTCTGAGTTCTGCTGTTCTATGAATCTTTTCCGCTGACACTGATCCTAATAGGCACAGAGTATTGAGTGCCCACCACGCTTAGGGCCTATATTATCTCATTTAATTCTTAAATTGTAGCCCTATGATATTAACCCTCTTTGCTGCCGGAGGAAACTGTGACTGACAAATTTAAGTAACTGTCTTAAAGCTGGTGGTTCCCAAACTTGCACATCTGTCCAAATACCCTGGAGGGCTTGTGAAAACACGATGCGCTCTATACAGAAGCGGAAATAGAATGATGTCCACCTGAAATTTACACAATGTTATGAACCAATGTGACCTCAATAAAATAATTAAAAAAAACCCCAAAACACAGACCACCGGACCCCACCCCTGGACTGCCGACAAAGTAGGTCTGTGACGGGTTTGGGGAAGTTGCATTTCTACCAGGGTCCCAGGTGCTGCTGGGGCTGTAGGGACCACACTTTGACAACCGCTGGTCTTAGCCGCGCAGCTGCGCAAGAGGGTGGGGGTTCACGCCCCGGCGTGCTTGTGGCTTTGTGTAAGTCATCTCAGGAACTGCAGTGGAGGGAAGCCTGCTTGTTACCTGGGATGGACTCCAGGCCTCCTAGTCGGAGATTCAGGTGAGCAGGGATTTCTCTTTTGAGTGAGATCCTGGCATGCATGGATGGACTGAGGCAAAGGGAGCATTTGGGGGCAGGAGCTAAGAGATGGCATTGCCTACATAGAACTGCAAACAGTGATAACATCGACTAAAAGTCGGTCTGCTTTGTTGTCACTGTGCCAGCGATTCTAAACAATGTCTGTGATAAATACTCTTCTCCCCACTCCCTTTATATATGCCACTGCCTGGCGGCGAAAGATAAAAACACTACAACACCCTTCTTGGTTGGGGCTCCGGTAAGCTCCACCTTCAAGGGCCTCACCTTCTACTTCTCTATTATCCATGCATGAGTGCTTAATCCACTTTTTTTTTTTTTCTGAGGAAGATTAGGCCTGAGCTAACTGCTGCCAATCCTCTTTTTGCTGAGGAAGACTGGCCCTGAGCTAATACCTGTGCCCATCTTCCCCTGCTTTCTATGTGGGGCGCCTCCCACAGCATGGCTTAGCCAAGCGGTGCCATGTCTGCACCCGGGATCCGAACCCATGAACCCCCGGCCGCCAAAGCAGAACGTGCAAACGTAACCACTGCGCCACCAGGCTGGCCCCTTAATCCACTTCTAATTGCTAAATCCTTCCTCCTTTGTCTCAATTTTAGTGCTAAAATAATCTAATTTAAAATACTCCAGGAATAAGTAAAATACGATAGTTTCATGGCAGTGCCTTCTGTATCACACACTGTGCCAACCACTGGACACGGAATCTGTAGAATCCTCGTAATGACCTCTGTGATTGTCCCCATGTTACAGGGGCACAGAGTTTAAGTCATTTGCTGGGGATCAGATGGCTAGTGAGTTGGCAGAGCTGAGATTCCCACCAGGCAGCCTAGCTCCAGGGCCCATGTCCTTAACCACTATGGCTCCACTGCCCCTCAGGCAGACAGTCGGTGCTTAATAAGTGCACATTGGATGGTCACATGGAAATGGGTAGGCATATTAGATGCCAGCAGTCCAGGCAGCTCTGGTCTCCCGTAGTGACTCTGGGTCCACGCCGGGTGGCAGAAGATCCCGCTGTGTTGCATCGTGTCTTTCTCGCAGGCTGCTGCAGCGTTTACCTCCACTGTGATGAAATGTGTATTCCCTTGTGGGGGTGGTTATTGGTATTTATGGAGCATCTTATAGCTGAAGAGCTCCAGAAGCAACAATTACCTCTTTAATCCTCTTAGCATCTCTGAAAAGAGGGAAGTGAACTGGTGTAGCCTGCTCCTTCTGCCTCTTCTTGCTTCTCTCACTCCTGTCCCCGTAGTCTACAGAATGCACACAGCAGCAAGGTGAGAGCTGGAGAGGGGGCATTTGGAGGGAATAAGTCATTTCTTTCTTTCTTTCTTTTTTTTTGCTGAGGAAGATTAGCCCTGAGCTAACATCTCTTGCCAATCCTCCTCTTTTTTTTTTTTTGCTTAAGGAAGACTAGCCTTGAGCTAACATCTGTGCCAGTCTTCCTCCACTTTGTATGTGGGTTGCCACCACAACATGGCTGATGAGTGGGCTAGGATCGCACTTGGGATCCCAACCTGTGAACCCAGGCTGCAGAAACAGAGCATGCTGAACTTAACCACTACACCGCGGGGCTGGCCCTAGGAATAAGTCATTTCATGCAAGTCACGTTCAGAGCTAGGTGGAAGTTTAGGACTCCTTGCGGGGGCCTTGAGGTCACCTCACCTGCATTCCCACTTCTGCTGGCGATGCTTTGTACTACCTGGTAGCTAAACGGAGAACTAACCTTCTTCCTGCTGAAGAAATCTCACCAGCCACTTTCACTACCCTCCTTCTGCTCAAGGAAAGAAAGTTTGAATAACAGAATTTTGTTTTCTTCTCCAGCAGTGAATTCTTCTGTCTTGGCAACTGCAGCGTTCAAGACAAGCTATTCAGAGGAAGAGCAGAGAAAATGAAAGGGGAAGAAGTCTGGGAAACTTCTTTGGTGTTAGTATTTTTTTCCATATGCGCGGATATATTACTCACATATGCATCCATGACTGCTTCTCAGCAGCCTCCGGGGCGCAGGCATGATCAACGGCCGCTGGTTGTGACTGTCTTTGTTATGCGTACGGAACCGAATTCAATGGCGGCACCTGAAGATATTCTGCGAGGAGATAAGGCTAATTTTGGTCATCTGAACATGCCAATGGGATGCCGTGATGGTGCTGGAGGTCTCCTTGTGTATGCCGATGTTTTCTGTTACTAAGGGGGGAATAAAGCCTAGATAAATAAGATCCCTATTGCTGACGTTCAGGAAATTTTCAGACGTTAGGCTCTCCTATTTCAGGATTGTTGTTAATCATTTCTCTGGCCAGATCATGGTGCTCGCTAAGTGTGCGAAAGAGATAATACAGTTAGAGAAATACTCAGCCTTGGCTTCCTGTTCCTTTTTTCTCACGATCCTTCGTTATGATGTCTGGCTGGATTGGTTTCCTCCTTCCGGCCATTGACCATCTCTGCCCGGCCACTCCCTGTGTGTGTGTGTGGAGCGGGTGAAGGCCCCAAATTCCAGACTTTGGGAGACTCCAGTCTGTCTTTGTTGAGGGGCCATCATTCAGTCTCATGCTTTTGTTTTCAACCATTTACATTTTTTTAAGGAGCTGATTTCATACTCATGGAGCAGTGGCTCCAAGTTCAGGCCGATGTACTGAGCTAAGGTTCTAGACCTGAAAAAGGCAGAGCAGAGTTGGCATTCTGGAGGCTTCCCTCTTTGCTCATCCACGTGTCTGTGACCCATGACCTTTGTGATGGGAAAGACATCAATACTGCTCCAGCTGGGCTCTGAGCTCTGGCTTTCCCCCCAAGGCAGCCACCTGCTCCGCTCCGGTCCCCTCTCCTCTCCCCTCCTGAGTGCATTCTCTGCAGCCAACAACACCCAGTCAGTGTTCCCCACTGTGTTTCCCTTCCAGATAGAGGAAAATGTATTAAATATGTGTTAGGAGAAAGGAAGGCCAGTCAAGGAGATCTTGAGATGAAACAGAAAGATGGAGGCACGCAATACTTATTTTACCTCCTTCCCTCCAGGAAGGCAACGATGGAGAGCTGTCATTATCCTCTACAGAATTACAGGATAGAGCTAAAGTTCTTAGAAATGCTGGGGAAGGCAGGAAGCTCTTCCAAGATGGCCGAGGGAAGCCAGCAGGGACATTAGCTTGGGGGAGGATGAGCTCAAAAGAGGGGACCACTGTGCAGTGGAAATAATGACTTCCTTTGGCCTCCGCTGCGGAAAACAGCTTCTAGGGGATGGCTGAGGGAGTTCAGCCTGGCTTGTGGCTTTCTTTAGATGTTCTCCAGGTTTCTGACATGTGTTGAGTGGCTTGGATGGAGAGGCCATTCTGCAGCTGCTTATGCGGTGACCGTGACCGTGCAGCTGGCCGTGTGCCTGCGGAGGGCAGGTGTGAGAAGAACGAAGCATGGGCCTCCGTTGTGTGCCCAGCTGAAATCTGTGTCCTTGTTGGTTTCTTTCTTTCTCCTCCGACCCCAGCCGTTTTCCTTTATGCCACCAATTCCTGTCCAGTGTGAAAAGGTTTTACATCCAATTACCATCCTGTGTGAAAAGGTTTTACATCCAATTCCCATCCCATGTGGAAAGATTTCCTTTTCAGATTTGTGTGCTGAGCCCAGCAGAGCAGAGACGAGTAAGTGCTGTAACATTCTGCATGTTTTCACCCCTACCCGTACGGGCATTTCTAAGGAAGAATGCAAACAGGCCTGAAATACAATGTATTAGTGTAACAGAGAAGCGAAGAGTATTTTTAGGAAATGTGGCTAAAGCAGATTATTGGGGTGAGTGAGTGAGTCAGGTGAGGGAAGAGCGGGGTGTTCTGGGTTGAGGTTCATGGCTGCCTCCAGCTGTCCCCAGAGTTGACAGACCAGTGGGGCCTGAGGACCCCTGGGCTTGTGGTGGCTCCTGGGAGAGTGAGGGCTTCTGGAGGAAGCTGCACTGATCTTAAAGCCCGGTCTGTCATGGGAAATCAGTAGAGGCAAGCAGTGCGGTGAAGTCCAGAAAGGCCTGTGGCCGTGAACCACCAGGTTCAGTGGAGAGGCTGGCCCCCAGTGTGCCTGCCATTGGCCCCTCTCTCTGTGGAGGAAGGGAGGCTGGTCAGACGAAGCTGTGGAGGCAGGAGGAAGGCAAGGCAGGGGGCTGTGAGCACTGTGGAATCCTGGGAGGGAAGGCGGGGACTCTTACCGTGGAGCCTTTGCCACACCACCCGAAACTCTCTGTAATTCAGTTTCTTTATCAGCAAACAGAGCGTGTTAATACTTCCTCAGGGAGTCGTGAGTCCAAACAAGGTCCCGGATAAGGGAGGGTTGGAACTTTCCGAAGAAAATTGCTCGAAATGCCAAGATGTAATATTATATTAGCTGGGGTTTAATGCTTGATAGCAATATGAGTATTAATTGCCCCTTGTAGTGGCACTATTCACAATAGAACAAAGTTCAACCCCAGGCAGGTGCTTCTGGTGTCCATTTGGGACTCTGGCTGCCAGATTGCGCAGAGGGCCTGAGGCTAAGGCACTTTCCCCACCTGGAGGTCCCGTGCCAACCCTGTGGTTGGGCCCTCCGTGTTGGCCAAGTTCCCTCTGGGATCCTCAACTTCATGTGTGTCTGTGACACCTGCTCCCATATTCTCTCTTGTAGAAAATAGCCATCACCACTGCGGTAGTTAATTTTTTGTGTCTACTTGACTGAGCCATGGGGTGCCCAGACATTCGGTCAAACATTATGCTGGGTGTGTCTGTGAGGGTGTTTTTGGGTGAGATTCACATTTGAATTGGTAGACTGAGTAAAGCAGATTGACCTCCCTAGTGTGAGTGGGCCTCGTCCAATCAGTGGGAGGCCTGAATAGAACCAAAAGGCTGACCCATCCTTGAATAAGAGGAATGCCTTCTGCCTTTGAACTGGGACGTTGGCTTTTTCCTGCCTTTGGATTCATGTTGAAACATCGACTCTTCCTGGCTCTCGAGCGTGCTGGTCTTTGGGCTGGAACTATCAGCTCTCATTGGACTCGAACTTGCTGACTCACCCTGCAGATCTTGGGACCTGTCAGCGTCCATAATCATGAGTCAGTGCCTTGTAATAAATCTCTTTATTTGTTGTTTCTGTTTCTCTGGTTCTATCGGTTCTGTTTCTCTGGATAACCCTGACTGATCCAGTCACCTGCCAAGTCCAGTCACACTTTGTGGTCCACCCAAAACGCTCCTTCTCGATTACAGGATTTTACGAGAGGGCAGTGAGTGAGCAGAGCAGTAGAATTTGGGGTCTCTCATCGTTTAGACTTCGTGTCACAGGCAGTGGTCGTGTCATAGTCATGGGGCCCCACTTTTAGAAAATTTCCATGCTTAGAAATGTAAACCTATGCAAAGGAGAAATTAGGAGTTAATTTTTCACATTCCAGTGGGATTCCGCACAAGGTCCTTTTAATTAACGAGTTCCCTCTTTGATTTGGAAAATTTTGCTTTGCACTAACCCTTTCGGGAACACATGGGTCCCCTCAGATGAACTGTTCCTCTCCCATCAGCCTCGGCTGCAGAACATCGAGCGACCTTATTGATCAGTTCATGAGGTTGCTCATTTGGTGACTTATTTCACAGACTGTTCTCTAACAGCTAGTGTGGACCTGGGAGTTGCCCTGTGGCTCGGAGAGCTTTCGTCGATTTGTGCCTTTTTTGTTAATTTGAGTTTGATTTTATTGGAGTCCCCCTGAGTCAGTCCTGGAGTCCTTTTCTAATTGCTCGATGCCCTCAGCGAGCCTCAGCTCCCTGGTGTAAGGATTCCTATCCCAGAAGAAAGGCGCCAGGTAACTGGAATCATTTCTGATGCACCCTTCAAGGGACTCCTGTCGTCAGGAAGAGGGTATCAGGCTCAAAAGAGTTCTGAAGGGTCAGCGGGACAGACTTTTCTCTCTGTTCTGACCACAGAACACTGTGTTCTACACAGACCCTTGGCCGGATTCAGGAAATGTCAGTGTTCTCTAAAATGGAGAATGTAAATTTGGGGAAGTGCATTACCCCCACTGTAAAAATGCCTATTAATATATCCTTATTAAATAATAAGCTAGTCGTATGGATTCATGGCTCCTCCATTCTTGTGTTAACAACCCGGTTATCTCCGGATCTCCCCAGGATGACATCTATTGATGAGCACAAGCCTGGGAAATACCCTCTCCTAGAGCCTCAGGAAATCTCTTTCCCCAGCTGCCCTCCCTTCACAGACACCACATGCTCTAATTCTCATGACATCATTCACTCTAAGGTGGAAGTGACTGATAACCACTTAGTGCCATGCTTCATAGAGTTAGTTGCAAGTCCCAGGTAAAGTTTCCAACGTTAACTCTTTAAAGGGTGCAGATTTTTTCTTCTGAGCACAGAGGCCTCCCAAGCTCCCTGAAATCACAGAGGTGGGTGCCCGAATCGTGTCCTTGGTGGTGATGGGTAAATGCACCTGGCGATTCTTCCCTGTGCCCTGGCTGAGTACACTAGGAGAAAATGACTTTATCCTTAGTCTCCTCCTGAGCCCAGAATGAAGACTTCTCGGACCACAGCGTAAGCAGCCACTCTCTCTGAAGCAGGTGCAGAGTAGATTTGCTGTTAGAGACCATCCACATGGCCTGAACCGTTGGGGTACTGCCCTGCTGTTTTCTTTCTTGGAGGTTACCGCAGTGCGTAACTGCTCACGCTCTTTACACCCCTCTAGTTCATGTCCGCCGCTCCCACTTCCGATCTTTGATCCCGCGCTCTCACGTACTTTTGCCTGAGGTTGACCATCTGCATCAGCAGCTGTTCACAGGCGAAGGCCAGCTGGGCAGAGAGCCAGGTGCCGCCAGCAGCCCAGACACCTCGGAAGCTGCATTCCAGCCTTCAGCACCAGGGGAACGTGTCTCTGGACACGATGTTCCCCTGCTCCAGATAGTGTGGGACAGCTGCGAATGGGACAGCCACACT